TGGCGGTTTGGGATAGAAAGGGAGCAGTCGTGGAGGAAGGTGATCGGGGCTAAATATGGTTTGGGATGGGGGGATTGGTGTACTGAGGAGGTTACCCATTCGCATGGTCGCAGTTTATGGAAAGGAATTTGGTTGGGACGGGAGGAGTTTTGGAAGAATGTGAGTTTTTTGGTTAGGGGGACCCGAGTTCGGTTTTGGAGGGATAGGTGGTGTGCGGAGCTGCCATTGGCAGTGATGTTCCTGTTGCTTTTTTGGATTGCCACTGACCGGGAGGCGACAGTGGATTCTTATGCCTAGATGCAAGGCCAAGTGGTTGTGTGGAATGTAGTTCTACGTCGTTAAGTGCAGGATTGGGAGATGGGGCAAGTGCTGGGCCTGTTGGGTTTTTTGTATGGGCTTCGGTTTAGAGGGGTTGGAGAGGATTGTATGAGGTGGGATTGTCCGAAGTCTAAAGGGGTTTTTTCTGTATCTTCTTTTTACCATAGGCTTACAGGGAGGGTTAGGGTGCCTTTCCCTTGGAAGAGTGTTTGGGTGGTGGGTTGTCCGTCTAAAGTTGCTTTCTTTGTGTGGACAACTGCATTAAGCCGTATTCTGACGATTGATAATTTGAGTCGCCGTGGGCATATTTTGGTCAACTAGTGTTGCATGTGTTGTGGAGCTGCGGAGTCAGTGGATCATTTGCTTATTTGCTGTCCGGTTGCTTCACGCCTTTGGATGTCTATAGTCGCTCTCTTCGGTTTGGATTGGGTTCAACCAGGGACTGTAAGGGCTGTGTTACAAAGCTGGGTTAGGGGGAGGGTTGGGAAGAGAAGGCGGAAGGCTTGGAACTTAGCTGGCCATTGTCTTATGTGGCTACTGTGATTGGAACGTAATCAGCGGGTTTTTTTGAGGGAGGTGCGTTCGGCGGTTTCGTTGGAGAGGCATTTGCTCCTCGTGGTGCATAGTTGGTTAATGCTGACTGTGGACCCGGCTGTTTTGTCTTTTGTTGAATTTGTAGAGGATTTGTCTTCATAGTTCTTTTGCTTGCTTTTATTCATGTTTTTGTGTAGTTACGGTTTAGGTTGCTTTTTGTTTTGTCAGTCCATTTTTTTATATTCTTTGCATCGCCTTGACGCCTTTTAATAAAGTTGGTTCATTTATCAAAAAAAAAAAAATCATTAAAAAAAAAATAGAGATACTCACCAAATGATGAGAAAGGTGCAAAGCGCACAAAATATACTACTTCAAAAAAAAAAAAAATACAACTTTTTTTTTATATGAAAATTTCTCATACAACCTAATATGTTTATTTCAATTTCAATTTCATTTCTTGCACACAAAAAATTTCTTTTATTTTGAAGGTAATGTTGCCTCATAACTCAATTTTCTTTGAACTTTTTATTTTTTTACTTTTTATATAGTTATAAAAAGAGTTTATTGAAGCAATTAGGCCTCGTTTGGGATATATTATTTTAGTAATTTTTTAGTTTTTTAATTAAAATCTGAGATAAAAAAATTAGTATATTTAGAATGACTTTTTAATTTTTTATGAAAAGATATGCAAAAAGTAGAGAAAAAATAAAATTTTTAATTTTTTGATAGAGGTTGTTGACTTTTTAATTTTTTTAGTAATTTGTTGACTTTTAAGTTAAAACAATGGGTTGCCAAATGAAGCTTTAATTTTTTGTTTTTGAATAATTAAAATTTATTTTATAATTGATATTTAAATGAATAAATCAGACTAAAATTGGTGAAAAAAAATGTTTTTTTTTTTGAATAGGAAAAAAAAAGAGGGTATTTTATCGTTAGTACTCAGGGTATCACCGTTGCGAAATAAATACCTCAGTCATGCCATGTTTGGGAACTGACTTTTTTTAGTAATTTTTTAATTTTTTAACTAAAATATAATGTAAAAAAATTTGTATATTTAAGATAAATTTTTAATTTTTTACAAAAAAAAATATGTAAAAAGTAAAGATAATTTTTTTTTTAAATTTTTTTTATATAAATAATTAATTTTTTATCTTTTTAATAATTTTTAAATTTTTTAATTAAAAAAAATCACTTGACAAGGCCTACTCTTCGCCGGACGAACGGCGTGCTTTACTTTAAAACCCAAACCAAACGACTCACACACAAACCCTAAAACCCATCCATTCACTCCCTCCCTCGCAGGAGAGAGATATACAGATAGATAGATAGAGAGAGAGGAGAGAGATATACAGATAGATAGATAGAGAGAGAGAAAGAGAGATAGAAAGAGCGGAGGAGGAGTCCCCCCCGCCGTCCCTTCAGATTCAGGTTTTGCGGTAATTTACCACCGATTAATCTTTGATTCGTTTCTATCATTGTTTACTTGTTTATTTTATTTGTCGTCATCGTTTGATTTTGAACTCACTTTCTTGAGTTTTTCCAGGCTCTCTTTCTCTCTCTCTCTCTTGTAAATCTGATACTTGATCCTGCATCTCTCACTCACTACTCACGATTACGTTATGACCATATTTAAATTCGATTTTAGGTGTATGATTCATTGTCTTAGCGGATCGTATAGTTAGCGAACTGACATTTGTTTTTTTTTTCTTTAAAAAATAAATCCAAAACATGCTTGATTCTGTTTAAAGATAGTTATATTTGGTGATTTATTGAATCGATTCTGTGGCATCACCTTCCTTGTTATTGTTTGCTTGCTTGCTGCGTTATTCACTTATGTTTAAAGAGAAAAACCTGATCTGTTTCGTTGCGTGTACATGCTCTTCTTTTCCTACTTTTTTATGTGTGCATTTTATATTTTGGTCTTGCCTCACTGTTAGTAATGTTGGGAATCAAATCTATTTGGTTGAGTTTTATGAATTTGGTTTTTGAAAAATTTTCACAAACCAGAATATAAACAGATGCATTGAGATTATATCTCGAGTTGTATTACACAAATTATAAAATTGTACACATTTACTTGTATATTTGCCTACCTGTGTTTCTCTGGCCTCATTAATCTTCTCTCTTTATATGTTGGAAATGGTAAGCTTTATGATTTTGTTGATTTTCAAAAGGCAGCCATAACTGTGTAAAAATAATTTATATTGCAAACAAAACCGCTTGTCAATCATAATGTTACAAGTTTGGTTATATATATAGGATTTTAGACTACTTGTGTTACATGTCTTTTATCTGTCATGATTACCCTTGAAGGTTTTGTTAAACACAAAGGATTGACTCTTGTATGATTGAAGGTTTTACTCTTGTATGCTAGCTCATTAGAAATAGATGATTGACTCTTTCTTTTGCTTCACTTGGAAACATTGTTGGGAGCATGTATAGTCACATAAATCCTGTATTCTACATATTTCTGTCCTCTCTTATTTTCTCTTTTATTCGTGGTGATGTCTCCGATGAATGTATTCCCGTGCAACATTAAAATAACGTAAGTAACAAATATTAATCACATTTCCTGCCAATATATATTTGCTATATATTGTTGTGTACACCTTTACTGGCTTTTAAAAAAAACAAAAAAAAAACCAAAGTATTGCTGGAGCCAATTTGCTTAGCAATTGGTGAACACTAATGAATGCTTTTGAGCTATCATTCAACTATGAATGCTGCAGCCTTTGTTAAAATGGCAGCATTCTTTCTTAAAGACAATTTTGCCTCCATGAATTTAATTATCCTCTCTTATTTAGCCCTCATCACACTATAGTGGCAGCAATAATGATGCATCTGCACTTGCAATAGAATGGATAGTAGTGCAGAATATTGCAACTTATAATGATGAAGATAGGGACAACTGAGTGGACATAGAGGGCAATAACAGAGTTGAAGCACATAGTTTGACTTGCTCATAGATTGTTTCTACATTTGCATGTGTATGTGTGTGGAGCTGAGCCAAGATTGCCTTCATTTCATTTTTCCTAATTTCTCTGTTGGACTAAATTTGTTTTCTGGATATGGTATAACAGTGAAGCTTCAAAGGCTTCATCTTTTACTAGCATAGCTATATGTTTATTTACGCCCAAATCTTTTGGTGAATAACTTTGAGAATGAATTGAAACTTTAGTTGTCTATAGAACCAAATTTGGGAACATCAATATGGACCCAGCTGTGGTTTTGACTGGAACAGCAAATGAACAGAGAGTCGGACACAGTTTTGGTAGTGTTGAGATTGGTCGTAGCGAAAGTGCCTACATTTTTCGGGTTGCTTTACCTGGTGTTCGTCGCAATAGCTGTAAGTTTCCTGTCCTGCTTATTTATCAATGTGCATATATTAGTAAATGTGTGTTTGAAAACGTATGGAGCATGCCTACTTCAATAAATATGCTGTATCTGTACCGGGTACTGACCGGCATATAGTACTTTGTATAGTATTTCCGCATACATATTGGATAAACAAAATACGTATTCAAATTTTTTCTTCTTAATTTTTGACATACCCAAATCTTAGTTGCACGAAGCGGGAGTGGAGGCGGGAGAGGGAGCGAGGAAGCGTGAGCTGATAGAAGTTTCTTAGGTAGGGAGCGCCTCGGGGAGCGGTAATATATATATATATATATTAGTAGTTATTTTTTAAATATATTTATTATATAAAGATGAGTTAAATAGTTATTTTTAAATATATTTATTATTTTTATCTTAGGTATTATTTTTATTGGTAATATTTTTAATTTATTTTTTATTTTTAATTGATATATATTATAAATAAAAAAATATATAACAAATAAGGAATAATAAAATATGTTAAAATAAATAAAAAATAAAAATTGGATTATTTATTTTATAGATTTTATTAGATTTTTTTTATTATATATGATTTAATTAGATATTTTATTAATGGCTAAAATATCATTTTATCCTTTTATTTTATTTTCTTGGACCAATGAGGTTAAATGATGAATCATCATGGCCCAAAGTTTCATCCAAAACCCAAATACAAAACGGGCCAGTACTTCCTCTCCATTAAGGCCCATTAGGGCTTTGCCTAGCTTTTTATATATATAAAGGTCTTTTCAATAGCCCTAAACACACACAGAGACAGGGGGAGCTCTCTCTTTCTCTTTCATTTCCATCGCCTACACGAGATCGGCGAATTGGTCGGCGTCCAAGCATGGTGCACGTTTCCTATTATAGCAACTGTAAGTTTTCTTTACAAGATCGAAGAAAATTGAAGAAGAAGAAGAAGAAGAAGAAGAAGGGCAGTGACGAGAGACGACAAGCGACGACTATCGAAAACCGATAAGGTCTTCTCTCTCTCTTCTGTTCTCTTTCTTTTTTGTGCTTCATAGCTTCTGAGTTGTTTTATTTCCACCAATGATCCCATCTTGGACAGGATCGCGTTTCTCTCTCTACAAAGACGCAATTCTTGCACGTTTCTTTCTAAGAAACACGGAATCGCATTTCTTACGAAGATTCGTCACCTGGTTGCATGATTCTTGCAACTAAGACCCAAACGTACCTAGTATATGCCCAAACCGTATTGTACCGTGCCATACCTTAGTAAAAATAATATTTCATTTTACTACAGAGATTAAATTTCTTTTAGTAGATTTCTTTTTAATTTTTAATTTTTAATTTTATACTTAGCATGATTTTAAAATAAGCTATGGTTTGTAAGTTATTTAATATAATGATATTTAATTTTGGTTTATACTGTTACTTTTGACATTAAATGTCAAATTAAACCATTTAATTAATTTTCGCATTACTCTAAATTAAAAATAAATATTTTTTTACAAACGTACCAAACCGTATCCATACCTTTTTTTCCGAATTTTAACGTATCGACCTATCCATATTGTACAGGTATCAGTACTTGTACCCATACCAGTGCTTCATAGTTGAAGCCTCAATTAATAGTCTAGGAAGCATGGCTAATGGTTCGTTATGGGTACGCCTACAAGGAAAAATCTAAAATAAAATAAGATACATGTGCAGTTAGTTATGTGATAAGAAAAAAAAAATTATTATTTTTAATAGTACATGATATATAACAATTTAAAAATCAAATGCACAAAATAATTAAATTAATTTTTAAGTTTATAACAATAGGCACAACATACCCCTCTATTTTGAAAAAATTACATTTATGTCCCCAATGTACCCATAATTGTACCTGAAATGTACCCATGGCGTACCCACCCTGTCTGTCTAAGCCACACTTGTAAGCATGTTGTGTGCCTGATATTAGGGATGGACAAACGTCTGGCTGAGCTGACATTACATAATAAGGGATTTTGTGTTTACCCAAGCGGGGCCCGGTTCAGCCCTAACATCGGGTCTCTATATATCTGTTCAAGCCTGGTCGAAAAAATAATTATAAATCTCAAGCCCACCAATCGGGCTATATGTTAAAAAAAATTTAAAATATTCCATAATTAAATTCAATTACACATTATATTTCTTATATAAATATATTGATATCATTATAAATTGAAATTGAAAAATTGTGTGTATAAATTGAAAGACTTCTTAAATAAATTCAATCACACATCACCACAAATGTGAGTTTCAATACAATCAACAAAGATAAAGTTTAAATACTAACAAAAAATATATATTTTAATGTATTATAAATAAATAAATAAATAAATAAATAAATAAATAATTTAATAGCGGGCCGGGCTGGGTTGAAAGTTTAAATCCCAAGCCCAGCCCATTAACATTTCGGGTTTAAAATGTTGGCTCAACCCGACCATATGGGCTAAAACAACTTTTCTAAGTCTTAAAAAATAGGGTTGGGCCAGTCGGGCTGGATAGGCCAACATGCCGATGTCCACCCCTATCCAACGGGCCAACAGCTTTATCGGTAAGCATACTCGTACCACACCGTACTGGATAAGTATCTGTAATCATACAACATATAATATTTTTAGAGTACCCATATTTCATAGGTTATAGTTAACCCTGTGTTGACTCTTAATTTTGAATGGGTAATGTTGTATTCTAGTGACTACACAGCAAAATTTTCGATTCTGTCTTAACATAATGCCACTTGCTATGCACTTGAAAATCGGGGAGCAGTATGTGAAATGTTTTTACCTCAAGCAAATAGAAAGTTGTGATCAACCAGACAAAAGAGTAGGACATGTAGTTGCTACTGATATTTGCTTTAGGAATTTCTCCATCTGCATGAATCCTCACATTATCATTGAAAACCAAAAATGAAAAAAAATAAAAATAAATAGAAATGGAGGAGATGACCAAATGGAGATTGTTTTTCATCTCAGGTAATGTGAAGTATACTATTCAACCTAATGGTAAGGTACATGTTGAAGGACTGGTGGGAAATGTTGCAATGTTGATGGATATGCCAAATCCGTTTGAAATGAAAGTTGAACAACTGTGTCCAAGTGGACCCTTCCATGTTACCTTTGATTTGCCTGGACCTGTTGACCCCAGGCTATGTTCTCCCAATTTTAGGCCTGATGGTATCCTGGAAGTTGTTGTCAAAGCCAAGAAACCATGATTGTTGCCTTTCTCAAGCTTTGTTGGAATCCCATGAGCTGTGTTATGAAACTCTGTTGTCATCAGAATTTGCCAAATATATATATATATTTTTAAATGTATGATTGTGTGTAATAAAGAGAAAGTAGTGTTTGGTGGAGTTAAACTCAAATCATATGATACTCACCAAAACAAACTCGTTATCATACCATCTATATATATGGTTTTAGTCCTAATTGAATTCCTGTTGTGTGTTTTCCATTGTTTACCTTTTTGGGTTTCACATTTCGTGTGCATGGAGAGTATGCAGCCTACTTGTCATGTGAAGATTTTATTTGTCCAGCTATGAATACATGTTTCATTGGATGAGTTAAACTTTCATTGGACAAGCCAGTAATGTTGCATAAATAGATTAAATTAATAAATAAGATAAAATGTCACATTAAATCTATAATTATTTTATTTTATTTTTTTACGAACATCACATCTAATTATAAACACAAAATTTTTAATCTATTAAAATAATTAAAAATTAAAATAACCTATTAAAATAGTTAACTTTTTAAAGCCACAGTTTGGGTGACCGACTGGATATTGATTTGCAATTCTTTATTCAGGTCGGATCCGGAGTGGAAGTGGAATGAGCCCAACTCTGGGGAGGCTTGGGACCCCAAATTGTCATTTTACTCATAATTTCTATTTTTTTATAAATATACGTATTAAAAAAAAGAAGTCCCCCACTCATGAGGTTGAATAGGCCCTAATGAAAATCAATCAAGGCCGGCCCTGCATGAGAGAGAAAATGGGCTTGAGTCAGATTTTGATCCACTTGTATTGTATTCCCTGCGTTCAATCATGCTTGAAAGTGGGCTGGGCCCATTAGGATACTCAGCTCAAGGACACTCACCGCTCACTCGCTCACAAGGGAGAGTTGTTCCACTACATACACGCTTGTTTTGCATTGTGGGCTTTTCATTTCAGGAAATATGCTTTACTCATTTCGCTTCTAATCGATCATTCTCTTGCAGGCTTCAATTGGTAAATCAATCTTTCTTTATTTTTTTATTTTTTGGGTCACAGATTATTGTTCTTCGTTTCTGATTTTCATTAATTTTTTCCCCATACATGCCTTTATCCCATTTTAGATGGTATAAAGATGTTTTTCTAATGAAAGTGCATCGCAGAGCTGATGCTAATTCAGACCACTGGAAAGCTAAGTTTATTGATGGTCTTCCTACTCTTTTTGCTGAAAGAGTCCGAAAGAAGTTAAGAGATTGTCATAATCAATTAGCTATTCCATATAATCGATATACCTATGGCCAACTCGTAAGTATTATCACTGATGAAGGACTTGCTTTATGCAATGACCTTAAATTACAGCAACAAATGAAACATCTTACAAGAAGAAAAGAATTAGGCGAATTCTGTGAACAATTTGCCTATGATACGAAATTACAGTATCCTCACAAACCGAAAAAACATAAAATTGGAAAATCTTCAAAGTATTATTCCAAAAAATCCAGAAAACATAAATATGCTAAAAATCAACTTCAGCAGCAACAACAATTACCTTCAAAAGGTAAACACAAATATTCCAGAAAAAAATCCAAATCCACTATTAAATGTTACAAATGTGGACAGATAGGTCATTATGCTAATCGTTGTAAATCCAAAATACACCAGAAGCTTAATGAATTATCTTTAGATAATGAAATCTAGCAGCAGATTCTCAGAATGCTTTCTGATGAATCCGATACTTCTTCTGATAACGAAGATGAAATTGCAGCACTTTATTCTTCCGATACCGGCACTGAATCTGATAATTCTCCAGAAATTTGTGATTGTAAAACAAATCTTAATCAGATTTCTGATGAAGTCAACTATTGGAAAGCCATAGTTGAAATGAATGGACTTGATATTGGAGGATCCAGTATCAATGTTCTTACCGAAGAAGAATAGAATATGATTAGCATTGCTGATCAGATTTCTAATCCATAAATGAAATTAAAATTTTTAGAATTATGCTTACAGCAACAAAAGAAGGAAGAGATTCTTCCTCCTCAGCATTACAATATGAAAGAAGTTTTCCAAAGATTTCAACCTCTTACTGAAGAAAAACCATTAACAATTCAGGATTAAAAAATGGAAGTTAATGCTTTAAAAGTTGAAATTAAATATTTACAAACTTCTAATATTGCTATTAATTCTGAGATTAAGAAAATTAATAGTAAATTACAGCATAAAGAAAAAGCGATCATTATTAATGAATCGACTTCAGATTCAATTCCAGTATCAAAGGAGCCTGACTATCTCATGCTCATGAATACCGTTACCTTTCAGAAATGGTATATCAGGATAATCTTTATGATAAAACCTGATTTTGTCATAAAAGATGCCATTGCTCTTGTTGATAGTGGTGCAGATATGAATTGTATTCAGGAATGATTAATTCCTACTAAATACTTTCATAAAACAACTCAATCACTTACAAGTGCAAGTGGTAATTCGTCATATATTCAATATAAACTTCCAGAAGTTTTAATTTGTAATCAAGGATTATGTCTGCCCACTTCTTTTGTTCTGATAAAGAACATGTCTCAGGCCATAATCCTAGGAACACCTTTCCTGTGTTTACTAATGCCAATTTCTAAAATTGATTCTATTGGCAGTCATACAACCTTAAATAATCAACCGATTATTTTTGAGTTTATTACAGAAAGAATTAGATCAGATCAAAGATCTAGTTAATTTTAAAGAAAAGCAAATTAATTTCTTACAAAAAGAAATTAGTTTTCTCACTACAGAACAAAGACTTCAACAGTTTTCTTTCCAGCAAAAGATTAAGTCACTTGAACAAGAATTTCAAAATCAATCAATCTTTATTTTTTTTATTTTTTGGGTCACAGATTACTGTTCTTCGTTTCTGATTTTCATTAATTTTTTCCCCATACCTTTTCTTTTCTATTATCATGTTTTGGGTGAATTAATTGTTTCTTCAATCCTCTTTGATGGTTTCATCTTTGTGATCATGTGTGTAAACTGTCATTGCTAATTTGTAAATGCACAATGATCTAGCAAGGCAATGAAGTAGATAACAATAGCAAAAAGAAAAACCTCACAATTACATTGTGAAATGTGTGATTGTGATTTTTTTTCATCTCATGTTTGAAAATCAAACTAAATCTACCAATACTTTATGACAAGATTGGTTGAAGACAATCTAGATCGATTATGCATTTGATTGTTTGTAGAAGGTGATATATTGCATTCCCTTTTGGTGCATTGGTATTACAATAGGAGGTTGAGTTTTAATCACTTTAATTGAAAATTTGGGAAAAATTTGGGAGAAATTACAAGAGGTGTGCACTGTATGTAGAGTGTTTTGCAGATTTTGCATGCCTTGTCCACCTCATGTATGGGAAGATTCACTTGTAACTTCATTGAATGATCATTTTGTGTGTTTTTTTTTTCTCCTTGAATTTCCCATTGACAGATGGGTCAAAAAATGTTTCCATCTTGAAGTCAGTTATAGTTAACTCCATAATAGATGAGAGAAGTCGGAAATTCTCCAACATGCTGTTAATGAGATAGGCTCCAATTAAGTATTAAGTTTTTAACAATGGTATTGTTACATTTGAAAAGAACGACTTCTGCACTTACATTGTACATTAAATGGAAACACATATTTTCTCAAAAGAAGCATATATATATATATATACAAATACAATACAATACACATAAATATTTATATATCAGTTCATAAGAATTAAGATACATAATGTTCACATGTCATACTAATGCTCATATAATGTAATCAATGACCAACTACTAAGATCTTTCAATTTTTCCAACTCAATAAAGGGATAACCTGATTCACATAATCTTGGAAAAAGCGTGGTAGCTCGAATTGGAGGGGCCCGAATGAGTGTTGGCCGGACGTCTGCCTGGACGACCGGGTGAAAGATTGTTTACTGCGGTTGTCACCATTGTCGACTGTCAGTCTCCTCACCGAACGACCAGCCGGACATCCGCTCAGACGACCGGCAAGATGAATTTCGAGCCATTCAAGCCAACCTCATATTTGAGCTACCAAGCATTGCCACATGATCTTTTATACATTCCCAAGTGTCTATCTCATTAACAGCATGTTTGAGAATTTCCGACTTCTCTCATCTATTGTGGAGTTAACTAAAACTGACTTCAAGATGGAAGCAGTTTTTGACCCATCTGTCAATGGGGAATCCAAAAAAAAAACAAACACAAATTGATGATTCAATGAAGTTACAAGTGAATTTTCCTATACATGTGGTGGACAAGGCATGCAAAATCTGCAAAACACTCTACATACAGTGCACACCCTCTTGTAATTTCTCCCAAATTTTCACCCAATTTTCCAATTAAAGTGATTAAAACTCAACCTCCTATTGTAATAACAATGCACCAAAAGGGAATGCAATATATCACCTTCTACAAACAATCAAATGTATAATCGATCTGGATTGTCTTCAACCACTCTTGTCATAAAGTATTGGTGGATTTAGTTTGATTTTCAAACTTGGGATGAAAAAAAATCACAATCACACATTTCACAATGTATTAGTGTGGTTTTTCTTTTTGCTATTGTTATCTACTTCATAGATTTGCTAAATCATCATGCATTTACAAATTAGCATGGACAGTTTACACACATGAACACAAAGATGTGTGACAAAAAAGAAGAAGAAGATTGATTTATCAATTGAAGTCTGTGAGAGAATGATCGATTAGAAGCGAAATGAGTAAAGCATATTTCCTGGAACGCAAAGCCCGCAGTCCGAAATGAGAGCGTGTATGTAGTGGAACAACTCTCCATTGTTGTAAGCGAGGGAGCGGTGAGTGTCCTTGTGCTGAGTGTCCTGATGGGCCCGGCCCACTTTCAAGCATGATTAAACACAGGGCATACAATACAAGTGGCTCAAATATCTGACTCAAGCCCATTTTCTCTCTCATGCTGGGCCAGCCTTGATTGATTTTCATAAGGGTCTATTCGAACTCACGAGTGGGGAACTTCTTCTTTTTAATACGTATATTTATGAAAAATAAAAATTATGAGAAAAATGACAATTTGGGGGCCAAAGCCTCCCAAGAGTTGGACTCATTCCAATTTCACTCCGGACCCTGAATAAAGAATTGCGAATCAATATCCAGTCACACAAACTGTGAAACGGGTAGTTAAAACTATTTTAATAACTATCATGAGATGAAAAGAGTTGGACTCTCTCTCTCTCGGGTTTTCTTTCTTTTTTCTTTTCTTTTTTTGTTTCCCTGAAAATGATGAATCAGGATCTTGAGTTCCGTTTCTGCTGAACAATTCTTTGATTACTTGATTCAGGATCCTTGTGTAGGATTTTTAATTTATATATATATATACATACATACATGTATTAGAATACTGATCCAAGTAAAGTAATTAGTCAAGTTAAAGATGGATTGTTGCCCCTCAATGAGATCCAGTGGATTGTCTGTTCTGGGAACTCTGAAAATGAGGAAAATAAAATAAATAGATTAATTTTTGAATCTTGCAAATTGTGTTGTTTTGTTTCCCAGAAACAGATGATCCGAGTAGTGAAATTAATTTTTTTTTAAGTTGCTCTTTTCTTTTCCTCATCTTTCTCAGCAACCAAATGAAGCACTTGGAAGCTTCAGCCAGATGCAATATTTTCTTTCTTCTCTTGCATATTTAGTTCATAACATAGTCCACACACTGTTTTGAATCTACAAAACATGATTGCTTCAGAATCTGTTTAATAAAACTAATATGTGCTGTATGACTGTATCTCACACACATTTGCTTAGATTGCCTTTGCTATGAATATGATATTAACTGCCATTGATAGTCATAGTCATAGTCATAGTCATAGTCATAGTCATAGTCATAGTCATAGTCATAGTCATAGTCATAGTCATAGTCATAGTCATAGTCATAGTCATAGTCATAGTCATAGTCATAGTCATAGTCATAGTCATAGTCATAGTCATAGTCATAGTCATAGTCATAGTCATAGTCATAGTCATAGTCATAGTCATAGTCATAGTCATAGTCATAGTCATAGTCATAGTCATAGTCATATTGGCTGCAACTTTCTTAGCCAAATTCTTATAATGATAGGAGATGTCACCCGCAAACAAGATGTTCAAAAAGCGTTACACGGCGCAGATTGTGTTTTTCACCGTGCTTCATATGGCATGTCTGGGAAAGAAATGCTCCAATTTGGCCGCGTGGATGATGTGAATATAAACGGAACTTGCCATGTCTTGGAGGCTTGTGTTGAGCATGGGGTTAAGAGGCTTGTTTATGTGAGCACATACAACGTTGTGTTTGGGGGTAAGGAGATTATCAATGGCAATGAAACCTTACCTTATTTCCCTCTTGATGATTATGTTGATCCATACAGCCGCAGCAAATGTATTGCTGAACAGTTAGTTCTAAAGAGCAATGGGCGCCCTCTCAAGTAAGTAATTTTATTTTCACAAGTTCACCAGTCGGGCTGTCTTTGACATCTTGTTTAGTAGGTGTGCTTCTCACTTCTTTAACTATATTTTTATGACTCTTGTTGTTCTTGGCTTCAAGTTTCAACTGGTTTAAAAAATAAATAAACAAATAAATTGTCACTTTTATGTATTAGCAAATGGGTTGGTATGTGTCAAGCATCTACTAACATGAATATGAAATTTTCCATAATATATTTTTGAACTATAGAAGTAGCATAGAGAACAATGTTGTGATCTATTAAATAGAGGTTAAAAGAGTATGCATAACTTGTGATCCTAACAAGACACCTTAAATAAACATGAAAAAGCAGTACCTTGAACAGTGTAAAAATGATTCTGATGTGCATTGCCTCAAGCAGATCTATAAGACACTGCCTTTGTTTAGAAAAGTCATTCAACTTTCTTATGACTCATTGAATTCCCTTCTTTAATCTTGCAAATCCCAGCAATCTGAGTAAGAAGACAGTGTTTCAGATGCAATTCTTACTAGACCCCTACTACCAGTACAGGGTTCTTTGTGGAAATTATTGTTGACTGTTGAGAACTTCATCTTAGTTGTTTTCTCTCTTCAATTTACTTATTCAGGTTATATTGAAGAATTATGCATTCTCACTTTTCAAAATTTTGTTTGTTATCTGGAAAATAGCATAAGAAAGTCAAACTCAGATTGATGAAAATATCCTCCCTTTTTCAGATTTGCAGTATCAAGTTCTTTGCTCCTTTAGAGAAAGAGAATCTACACATGAATTTCAATGCTTGACCTGACCTCGTCTAGTTTGTAAGATTCTGATTTATGTACGATGTTTCTATGCTATGTAGGAAGAAGAATGGAAATCTCTATACATGCGCAATTCGTCCGGCTGCTATCTATGGACCAGGTGAGGAGAGACATCTCCCCCGCATTATAAATCTTTCGAAGTTAGGTCTGCTGCCATTCAAAATTGGTGAAGAAAGAGTGAAGTCAGACTGGGTTTATATAGATAACCTTGTTCTGGCCCTAATATTGGCTAGCATGGGACTCTTGGATGACATTCCCCAGAGGGAAGGACGTCCAATAGCTGCTGGTCAACCATACTTTATATAAGATGGTAATATTCAATCCATTTGCTTAGAAATATTTTACTTATTTCGTGGCAACTAGAGCTATTAAAGTTGAGTAATGCTATACAAACTAACACAACTTACAAAGTCACATGATTTGTACCTATTATATTATTTGAGTGGGTCCCATTTCAAATACCGAAGTCTTGTGACTGCGTGTCACATATCTGTGAGAAAAGTTAGTAAGATTTGTTAGTTTGTATAGTATTGTCCATTAAAGTTATTGATTAACCCTTGATTCCAAGGAAGGACTACTTGAATGTGAAAAACTGATTAGTGACTAGAGTCAACTGTGTTTAATATTTAACTGTTTTCCATGCAATGGTTTAATATCAGGCAATGATTTACAGGGTCTCCAGTCAACAGTTTTGAATTCCTCCGCCCACTACTCCAGAGCCTGGAGTATGACCTGCCAAAGCGGGTCATTAGCTGTCTCTCATGCTCTTGTTCTGGGAAGGATATTCCAGTTGGTCTACACTATCTTATATCCATGGTTGAACCGATGGTGGCTTCCTCAACCATTGAGGCTTCCTACTGAAGTGCACGAGGTTCACTTCTAAATTACCTCGGTTTCTGGTTGAATATAATTGTAGACTTGTAAAGCATTCCTTACTGCTTACAAAAACAACAAACATTGGGTCTTGGGGGTGGGCTTCCTTCAAGGTTCAGGGATCGAAACCTCTTAGGTACTAACAATTCCTTGGGGCCACCGGACTAGGGAAAAACCCTTGAATTAATGGTGGTGCACTTGCAGGAAACTCCTTGCCGAGGGCCTGTGCATCCCTAGGGATTAGTCGGGCTTTGATCCTCACACCTAGTGCCAATCCAAAAATAAAATAAATCAGAGAGAAGGGTTATCTCCCTTATATTAGGGGTTTTTTCCCATATATTATAGTAGTACAGTCCAAAGTACAAAAGTATCCTTACACAACGCAACATAACATAAAATCACTTCCTACTTGGATCTTATAAAGGGTCATCTATATACCCCTCTACTGGTTTCAATTTAAGTGGTTAATGAAACATATTGTCACTTTGATGCATACCTCCTATTGCCACTCGGTAGTTTCCTAAAATTCTGCAGTTCTCACTTGGCCTAGTTGCAATTGATCCTGCACCTTCCCACATGGTTTACCATAATTCCTTCCACCCCATCTCAACACCCACATTTCCAGACAAACTTGAAACATTCTCTAACATCTGTTATTAGGTTTTGCAAGTTTCACTACTGTGTACTGAACCATATCTGATATATTTGTGTGTGTTTTATTTCTTGACAGGTTGGGGTTACTCATTACTTCTCTTTCCTAAAAGCAAAGGAGGAGCTTGGCTATGTCCCTATGGTGAGTCCTCAGGAGGGCATGGCCGCAACCATATCATATTTTCAAGAGAGGAAAATAAGAAGTTTGGACGGGCCTACAATATATACATGGATGTTTAGTGTAATTGGAATGACTTTGCTATTTATTGCTGCATATTGGCCAGCTTTCGGACTTGTGTCGCTTTTAAGAGATTTCTGTCTCTTCTTCTTCCGGTCTATGTGGGTAATGAGAATGGTGTTCATTTTGGCTACAGCAGCTCATATTGGAGAGGCTATGTATGCGTGGCATCTGGCAAAAAAAGTGGATCCTTTGAATGCAAGAGGCTGGTTTTGGCAGACTCTTGCGCTTGGGGTTCTTTCATTGCGTTTCCTGTTGAAGAGAGCCCGGAAGTAAGTTGGAGCATCTATTGTTGATATAATCTTTTTAGCAGCTGTATTTATTACTGTATAAGGGCAGTTCCTTCATAGGCAGTAAAATAGGACACAGCTAGGGGTTTAGATTTTTTTGGTAGTGTTGAAAAATGTGATCAGAGATCCTCTTTTTATTTCTATGAACAACCACTGTGTCTCTATCAAAGGAGATTTGATTTGATTTGATTTGATCTGCGGGAGTATCTAAAGCCCGAAGTCAATCCGCCTAGTTTGAACTTTGATTGCTGAGAAAACAGGTATGTAAAAAGAGTAGATCTACCTCTGCTAATTTGCCCTGACCCAGCTCAGCTCTTCGACCTCAAGCCCAGGGCTAGTAAGCTGAGAAACCATGCTGTTTGCCTGGGTGTTAACAAGATGGGATTAATAGGCTGGAATTTGAGTTTGAGCTAGCACACCGGGGAGCCTCAAAATGCATCCTTTAAAAATAATAATAATAATAATAATAATAAATTATTGGACATTCCACCTTTCATAATTTTGTTTAGAGTAATGCTCTATACAAACAAATTTTGTTTTAAAAAATTCATACAAATGATGTATCTTATTTGTATCCAGTTTTTTGAGGAATCTCATTTATGTCTATTTATGGGGAGTTGACATATCCATCATTTAAGTATAAGAATCTTATTATCACATCATTCTTTTCTTAAATTTTGTGAGAAAATTTTGTTTGAATATCACTCCTCTTTAATATCATTTTACCAAGTTAAATTATTAAAAAGGACAAAAAAATCCTCTCCAATTCCGGCCAGTCCCTACCTAGATCTTCCTGTCACAGCCACACGCTTTCCCACTGTTTGGCATCAACCAGACACCTCCCCAACTTACCACCACCCTATCCCCTTCTCCCAACCAATCGCACTCACCTCCCCTATTGCAAATCGACTTATCCCTCCTTTATGTGCAATTCTATCTCTCTCCCTCAAGGCTCTCTAATGGCAATAGTGGGGGTTAGGGTTCAAGTCTGAGAGGGAGAAGGTGGCGTTGGCAGGCCGGATATGTGGAGGGTGTGTAAAGGTAAGGTGAACTAATTTTGGGTGCATCAAACAAAAATCAACAAAATTTAAATTTGAGTGTCGAAAGGTACAGGATATCCAACAATTTTTTCGTGATGCATTTAGATACTTCCATTAAATATTACCTCTGACAAACTGTGTCATCCAAAACAACTGGGAAAGCAAGATAAAGGCATTGAAATGGTCACAAGTTCTGCAACAAATCTTGGATGAAGAAATTGCAATTTACTAGTACGACATTATTAACCAAGCAAAAACTACCAAGAGAAATGGGCTAGAATCATTAAGGAAACCGTCACAAGTTCTGCAACAAATCTTGGATGAAGAAACTGCAATTTACTAGTACGACAGTATTACCTAAGCAAAAACTACCAGGAGAAATGGGCTAGAATCATTAAGGAAACCTAAAACTTGATCACTGGAGAAACAAAACAAAGGAGACAGTTTGGTACCATTTAAATCTAACGGACAACAACAGAGACTCTACTGTTCTCAACAAAAAATAAATCACCATGAGCTGTTCTATAGAACCTTACTAACACAACTAATTAATAACTTATCAACACAATTGGAGAAGGGCACCAATTGTCAGTACAAGGTTGGCTACTCCTAACAAGACCAAGGTCACATTGCAAAGTCAAGTCACCAGTTGTCTTTATTCTGCACCACTAAAATTACACAACGCGCGCACTTAACTTACAAACGGGGTCTCTCAAAGGGTGAACGAAAGCCAAGCTCCACAGAAAGATCACCTCCATGGCATGGTCAACATGCCTTGGGGGTTACTGTTGTTGTAAGCTCCTGTGCTGTGGTTGAGTGGGCTCCCAGGTCCACCAGATGACTCACTGAGCGGCCCATCCGATGGCGGGCTGGTAGCACCTGTTGCACCACCACCACCAACTGGGGAGAGCTTTGATGGAGCTGACAGCTATTCCATTTGATTTACTTCCTTTGATTCCTTGCCACCATCAGCGATGAAACTACCCATAATCAACTACAATGGAGGAAACCCATTATTATAGTTGTCATTATATAGACACAGCTGTGTGTTAAAATGGAACTTTGGTTGAGAAATGTCTAGTGGGTGGTTAAAACCTTTTTTTTCCAATATTGATCAATAAAAATCCTTTTTTCTTTATTAATGAAAATACAAGATCTATATGTAATCAGCAAATCTGAAAGATCATGGAAAGTATTTAAAAGGTGGAGCTGGCTTAAACTATCAATGACGAAGATAGTCAACAGGCAAATATATAATACAATAAATTACGAGGAAAATAAAACAAAAAATAAAAATCAGTTGTCATGCTGCAAAAGCAGAACAAATGGATGGGTGTGCTTTGTATGAATGGACTTCTCAAAACAAATAATAGGGTAGCATAGACAGAAATGTGATATACTGATGACACAAAATGAAACCCTGATATGACAAATTCTCAAAAAAAATAGTATTGAGGAAATTATCAATGGTAAAACTATAAACATGCAGATGTATGTATGTAATGCACTCGTATGTAAATCAAAAAACAATATTTTTTTTTTCCAGAATATTGATATGAAAACTATCGTTCTTTATTGGGTAAAGTGTAAGGTTGTTTGTGAGTCAGGCAGCTGGACCTCCCCTGCCATTAAATATCTACTGTTGAAGTTAATGGACGAGGGACAAGATGATGATCCATTTACATTACAAGTAATTTTATTGTGGACATCGATTTCCCCTTTTGTAATCAATTTTCTTACAACACCCAAGGATGGGGACCTACCGGTTTAGGTAAATATCTAATGCGCTCCCCTAACTTGAAACAAAAAATAATCGACAATTAAATCAGCTTATTTGTGAAACATGGGGTACACTGGATTAGAATAGAGGTATATGATTTTGAACTTTGAATGCAATGATGAAACAAGGGGCATGAATACATGTGTATAGTGTAACGCCCTCAAAATTAACCCATTATATATCATTGACATGCATTATTTAAAGAAGACAATTTATTAATTCATTCATCAGAGTATTACCAGATAAAGTATTACATGCAACATCGGATAAAACGCCCTACAGGCTTACATCTTTCCAAGCCTACAAATAGTTTGCCAAACAAGTTTTCCATGTCATTTTCCATTTCTTCTGTAATCTAGAATAGAAAACAGTATTAAAAAATGATACCAAATGCACCCTTAGTATCCGATATGAATGCAACACCGCAATAGAAGCATTCATGCTTCATAGGCAACCTTGGATACAAAAAAATGTTGTTGCAACTGCACAATATCACCTCATCAAACAATGGCCAGCTACTAGGGAATGAGTATACCTGTGAGTGTGTTGCATCATTTTGAAGCATAGCGAGCTTTTTTTTCATTAAAAGGGCTAGCTGGTCCAGCTCTAAACTAAAGGGAAAGATGTTTTCGAAAATGGTAATAGTGGTTTTTTGCAGCAGTGATATAAAATATCCGGTGCAAGAGGAACCACTGAATTCTTGGAAACAACTCCAAAAGGACAGCCTAATTTTAACTCAAACTTCCTGGATTTGTAATAGTGAGAGATTCATGCCATGCTTCACATTTGACTATGAATTGGAATTTCTAATTGTTCCAACTTAGCAAGGCTGTTTAGGAGTTTGCCAAACTATTGAAAGGGAAAAAGAGTTTTTCATGCCACAGTTAGGACAATGAAGTAACAATACTGACTCTTTACTTTCTCAAATTTGATTCTACAAAGTACGTACCAGAGTAAGACCAAGGATTGGGCCAGTAGATGAGGTGCTCCCTTGCCAGGGGTGATGTTTGGGTTTGAGTCTTACCTGTTGCGTGATGCAACTTCCCCCTCCTACTGATTGGTAAAAAAAATTTAAAAATTTAAAAAAGGTATGTACCAGAGTGGATCATTGTCAAAGAACAATAATGAACTAAGGCAAGTGTCTAGATCACATCCACCAGAAATTTATGTTTTGTTTAAGTATGGACACAAATTGTCGGAGCACGAAGCCTAGTGAGACTGCAACGAATTAAGCAGGGTGTAAAGTTGTGAGCTTTCACTAGAAAACCTTTCAGTCACTCGCTCACCTGACTGCAAAACACGGACTTTGTGTTGAGGGTTATACTGCCTCGGGCACCGATTGCCACTATAAAGATTGTTTCTCATATATATTTCCCCAATTATACCAATCAGAAAAAGGGAAAGGAGAGAGAGAGAGAGAGAGAGAAGTTAAGCTAGAAAAAGTAAAGATTGTTCTATATCTTGGCCACCCCAACACCAGTACTGATCTATTTATCAATTTCACAAGATGATAAATTTTAAAATCGAGTGCGCAGTTTTACAAAACATGCAAAAGATTTGCTAGAGAACCAGACAAACCTGAACAGGGGTTGCAGCAGTAAGAAGTCCTGCAACACAGCCACCTAAAACACGTCCATCTGGTCCAGCTAATGTGACACTCAGCCCACCAGTTCGGCTCCGCTGACCACCAACCTCTGTCAGCAGAAATGAACCACACAGTGACAGAATATCGAATCGCCCCTGCATCATTAAATACAACCAACCATTTGGTAAAATAGTATTAACTATCGAGTTGTTTGTGAGTCAGGCAGCTGGGCCTCCCCTGCCATTAAATATCTACTGTTGAAGTTAATGGACGAGGGACAAGATGATGATCCATTTACATTACAGGTAATTTTATTGTGGACGTCGATTTCCCCTTTTGTAATCAATTTTCTTACAACACCCAAGGATGGGGACCTACCGGTTTAGGTAAATATCTAATGCGTTCCCCCAACTTGAAACAAAAAATAATCAACAATTAAATCAGCTTATCTATAAAACATGGGGTACACTGGATTAGAATAGAGGTATACCATTAACTTCATATGATTTTGAACTTTGAATGCAATGATGAAACAAGGGGCATGAATACATGAGTATAGGGTCTATTTCGTATCACTCTCATTTTGATGTTTCTGTTTCCATTTTTAATTTTTATTTGCATTTTTTATTTTCCAAAAACATAGATAATGAAAATTTGAAAAAACACCAATTTTCATTTTTGTGTATAAATAACTTTAAAAAAATTCAAAAAGCAAGTTAGAAGTGTTTCTTAGAAATGGGATGTTCTAAAATATAGAAGAAAAAAAAATCCGAACACAGTTGTCACAAA